TGCAAAGCCGCATCGTTAAAAATCAACGAGCTTAGTAAATGTTAAGCGCGAAGCGCAAAAGTGCAAAAAAGAAGAAGAGAGTGGGAGAGAGAGATAATGAGAGACAGAGAGGATACAGGCGCGTAGCCAGGGGTGATAGGGGCGGTCGCCCCTCCCCCCTAAAAAAAAACAAAAAAACGCCGAAGAAAAAAAGAACAAAGAGAGAGAGAAAGAAGAAAGGAAGAGGACGTAGGAAGAAAAAGGATTAAGATGAATGAATCGTCTTCTTTCTCTAATAATTTAATCAAAAGGTCAAAGCTTCCGCGCTTCGCGCGGCAAGGGGGGGGGGGAAACAGAATTCAGACAAGGATTAAGAGTCGAGAATGGTACAACGAATCGTCTTCTTTCTCTAATAATAATATTTAATGAAACGTCAAAGCTTTCGCGCTTCGCGCAGAAGGGGGGGGGGAACTGAATTCAGACAAGGATTAAGAGTCGAGAATGGTACAATGAATCGTCTTCTTTCTCTAATAGTTTAATGAAACGTCAGAGCTTCCGCGCTTGCGCGGGAGGGGGGGGGGAACTCCCCCTTCCTGCACCCACCTCCTAGGAAGTGCTCACTACCGCCCCCTTAAAATAAAATCCTGCCTATATGCTTGAGAGGATAATAACCCAGGTAGCAAGCCCATGTAGGACCCACATGGGTCCCATATTCTCTGAAATTTTATCTTTATTGAGGGTGACTTGAAAAAGTTAATAACTTGGAAGGGAGGGGTGCAACCTGCCACACGCTTCTACCTCTTGGTTGCTTTGATCCATTGCCGAAAATATTTCGGCACCTCTCATCCCCCCTACCAAGGATACAAATCGACACCCTTGGTCCTTGCAGACTTTTTCCCGTAAGGCAAAAATGTATTTAATTGCTCGATATTGATACCCTCTCTTTTATTTATGTGTGAAATGACTTTTTGTGTACATGTTGTATAACCGATTATTTATTTATTGTGATCACTTACGTACACGCCTCAGCTGTTGCTAGTAGTAGTACCATCTGTATATTCCCCAGGACAATGCTGTCTGATGAAGCTGTTGTTTGTTTGATGATTTTGCTTGTTTTTAATGATATGTTCCCGCTGTCTATTTTAGAAATGTAGTACTTCGTTATTTTTATGATGTAATTGCAGACACATGCACAGCCCAATTGAGTTAACTCCCGGTGTTGTCCTAGAATTTGTTGAAATATCATTTTAAGTCTAGACTAAGGACCAACCTTAAAAGTCACCATCCGAAAGGCCTGACTCAGTCTGGAAACGGGGTCCCTCTGAGTCAGTTTTTACGCGACGATTACCCACAAGAAAGCACTTCCCAGACGATAACCAGACAGTTAATTGGCTGTCTGAGTGTTATTGACTGATTGGGGTGATTTTAAGGAGATAGTTGACTTCAGTTCACTTTTGAAAGTTTCTTTGCGGTCGTGTTAGAGTATAATAGAGATTTTTAGATTTGCACGACGAGAACGTGGACTGCCACGTGTGACATCCTTTTAAGGCAATGTGAAGTCCTTTTAAGGCACGGTCACATTGCCTTAAAAGGATGTCACACGTGGCAGTCCCTAATGATCAATATGGGTAATCACCTACAATACTGGGAAAGAGGCATAGTGTATTAGTTTGGGTAATTACCCCTGACCCATTCCGAACTCTGAATGCGTTTCGTTCACGCACTTATATATGAAGAAGTACCGAAATTAAACAACAATAATAATAATTTTTGAGAGAAACACATCACTGTTGTTGTATTTCACGTTTTGTTGTTGTTTTGTTTCGACTGTTTCGTTTGGTTTTGTTTGGTTTTGCTTTAGCTTGATTAGAAAAAAAACACTCGCTGGTTATTTCCTGATGGCTCCAAGAATATCCAAAAGGTTTTGAATTACAGATACAGTTACAGCTAATAGATGAGGCGGAAGAAGGTCCTTTGAGATTCTCCGGTTTCTTCACAATTTGAAGAAAACCCACAGGCGATGGATTCATAACATGTACTTCAAAAGATGTATTTCTCAGATCATCGACTACTGACAGATGACTGAAAGTGTGTTCAAAATGGGTTTTTCTTTTTTTCTTCTTTTGTATTGTTTTCTGAATGCGTAATCGTCTTAAAAGAAATACCCCCAAATGCCCATCGATTTTATTTCTTTAAACAAACACTTCAATGTTTTTACGCTGTTGTTGTTTTGTTTGTTTTCTTTAGTTAGGTTTTGTTTTGCTTTGCTTTTCTTATTTGTATCGGTAATCCTGATTTCATAATAACACATTCACCGGTAATTTCGTCATGGAAATTGTCCAAACCTTAATACAGAATAGCTATATTTACCATCCTAGAGTGGGCTCAAACAAGTTTTATAACATTATTTTGTATTCAATGTTTCAGGAAATCCCTCGGGCAACGGATCAGTATAATGTATTTCAAATGATATATTTATATCGAAAGAGGGATAAGGGAAGTAAGCAGTAATAATCTGTGTTGCTGTTAGCAACAGGTGCTCACAAACAATAGTAGCATGACGTATATCACGCAAACAGAATAATTATGTGGAGTAGTTACTATAAACAACTTTTCTCAGGTTATCTTTCAAAGACATATGCGTAGTAAGTTCGATTTTTCTCTGAAGGATATACAATTTATTCATATGAATCAATTTTTCAAAATGTTCCTTACATTATATGGTAGAGAATAGATTCTATACGTCAAGATTCCTCAGTTTTAAGGATTTGATGTTAAAGAATATATTAACATGTCCCGAATAATTAGAGATGGTCACCAATGAAAACATGAATAGTGGCCGCTAAAAGGAAAGTAACCTCTCAAGAAAGATTCTACAATGCCTAATTCTTCCTCAAGGGATACAGTACAGACGGCCTCTAGGTAGTCTCCACGACGGGTCGCACTATATTTTCTTAGTTTTTACTGTAGAGAATGAATGTGAGGGGTTAAGATAGGTAAATAGAAAGCAACAGTAGGAATAATAATAGTAAGTTCTTGTATAGCGCTCATATCTGTCAGACTTGGCATTTCTTCATTTTCTTGTGCTCCACAGTTATTAACCCCGTCTTTACTATGCGCTCTAGCAGTTTGAGGAACATGACGTCTTTGCTATAGCAATATGTAAATATGCATATTTTGCCCTTTCACCCATATCTAGGTTATGAATCCCTGCACTCCAATTTAATCCAAATATCTAAAAATCATGTAAAATATTAGTCTCTTGATACCGTATTCCAACATAACCGAGATTTGATATTATCCCATAATCCTGTTTTGATGAAAAACATCTTTTATAAACCAATGTCTCTAAACGTGCCTCCCTCAAACGCATCGAAGATAACTAGAACTATGAAGATAAAGAGTAATTTCTCAAGTGTTGGAATAGAAATCGAAGTGAAGTGATCAATAAATGAATTAATAAAAGTGAAGAGGAGTTTTAGAAATCCACTCAATAATGCAACAGATTTTTAAATGTATTTGATTGGTCAAATTTCACTTAAATAATAAGCTCAGTAAATGTCAGGGTGAATACGGCTTATACAAGAGTTCCTTCATAATCAGGTAAGGCGTATCCAGCATAGAATAGCAATGTTGCCCCTCCCCCACGTATCCGTAAAAAGGTACATTCAGGCCACATTCTCTTCAGGATGATATACCGCTCCCCTCCCCTATTAAGGATTTCTACATATCGTCACTTGTATGATATGACGATGCAGGGCCATCTGTCCCTCACCACTATTGTACTTCTGGTTATATTTTAATCGGTAATTTCTGTCGAAGGAATTAAATCGTAATTTTACAAAACTGATTAATAATTCCGTTGCCACAAACCCACATACTTTTTTTAAACTTTTGTTTTAGTAATTTTGTTTTATTCCTCCACATTTGTAATACGAACAAGAACATACAATTGAATAAATAAATAAACGTTTTCAATATTAATTGCTGATACATAAACATAATCATACAAACACTCATTTGCAGTATATATATATATCACTGAGCAACAAAGTAAACTTAAAGTACTTAAACATAATTATAAGTTAATTGTACATGTTTTTCACTTATTCTTATTAAAAAATAGAGGTTATTTTACTGATACAAAGTCCTGTTCCTCCCTGCCCCCTTGCCCTCCCTCACACAAACACACCCATACACACACTAATTACCCAGTGGATGTCTGCTAACATTCTCAACTCAAGAAAAATATATTAAATAAGTAAGTTATTTAACCAGGCCGCACAAACACACACACACACACACACGCACAGAGACACACGCACACCCACACGCACACACAACCAGTTTATTCTAACAGTAAATACGATATCGAAAAACAACCGAAAATACTGAATGGATGAGAATTTGCAATGACCTTAAAAACGGAGCAACAGGCTCGGAAGCAAAGAAAATGGAGGTTGCATGTCTCAGATCGAGCCTAAATGATTATTAGGTGTTTGTAGGTTAATTCGTTCGCGTATTACCTTAGAGTGCATGTGGCATGAATTTGATCTCTGTCGATTAATTCGGTAAAAGCTCAAACCACCATGGGTTTGGTGTCATAATGATGGATAATCAAAATAACTTCAAATTCGTGTATTTGTACCGTATTTGCGTCGGACTACCTGCTTAATTATTTGATTCCCCCTTTTTGTCTCACCCTCTCTCTCTCTCTCTCTTCCTCCTCCTCTATTTCGCTCTCTCTCTCTCTCTTTGCCTGAACATGACTTATTACTGACAAGACAGTTTGTTTGGTTGATAGTCCATCATGATAATCTTGAAAGGGTTAATAGTATATTTGTAAAGCGCTTAGAGACATTTTTAATAAGCGCTATATAAAATTAAATATTATTATTATTACACAGCCATCCCTTGCATTACACTGTAAACTGGTTCTATTTTAAAGTGCATTCCCTGTCCTAACGTTGAAATAATTATAACCACTTATGTTCGTTTATATCTCTTACAGGCCACGTATATCAACCCCATATAGTCTGGAAATACGACTTCAACAAAATCCACCAAAAGCATAGAAGACAGAGACGCGTGATGCCAATACCAGACTTGTATATTACTTTCCATCTTGACCTGATGATGACCACCGCAGAATACATTAAAAACCCGCTCCGAGAGGATCATATTTCGGCTGACAAAGACAAAATTAGAGATCATTTTTCAGCGAAGTTTTCTTGATTGCTAATACGGCCTCGTCTCTCAAAGCAAATATCAGTTGTCAACCACGCATCACTTAAATGCCCACTGTACGACTTGTAGCTCATTGCTCCCTCTATATAGAAAACAATACCTAATCAGTAACCATTGGTCTCCACGATCCTCTTTCTCTTATGTTGATTGAGAGCTGAGTTGATGGGATAGCAACCTGTTAGTGACCTTCCTGGGTGGTCCAATTCCTCCTAGCCAAACTAGTGCAGACGACCTTTAACAGGATTCTCACGAACAGATTGGAATGCCCACAACACTGATGGAGAATTCAACCCCTGGTTGGATGGCCGATGATAGCCAAATGGAAGAGACGCATCCTGCATTCCCTCTTATTGGTGGATACTTGCTAGTGGTCGTTCTTCTTGGGACTGCAGGCAACAGCCTGGTCATCTACACGTTCCTCCGATTCAAGAAGCTCCATAGCCCCATCAACCTCCTCATCGTTAACCTCTCCGCTAGCGACCTGCTCGTTGCGACTACGGGCACACCGTTGTCCATGGTCAGTAGCTTCTACGGTCGATGGTTGTTCGGAACAAACGCGTGTGCATTCTACGGATTCGTGAACTACTACTGCGGATGCATATCTTTAAACAGCCTCGCAGCAATATCCGTGTTCCGGTACATCATTGTCGTCAGGGGTCAGGCTCAGAACAATAAGTTATCCCTGCGCTCTAGCATCTATGCCATCTTGGTCATTCACCTTTACACGTTGATATTCTCGACGCCACCGCTTTACGGTTGGAACCGCTTCGTTCTGGCTGGATACCACACCAGTTGTGACATCGATTTCCACACTAAGACTCCGCTTTTTGTGTCATACATCTGTTACATGTTCTTCTTTCTCTTCTTTTTACCTCTTGGCCTCATCTCCTGGAGTTACTTCAAGATCTACCAAAGAGTGAGCAAACATTCGAACTCTATGCGGACGAGTTTCACCGGCGTCACGAAAGAGATCAACAGCGACGAGAAACACGCGTGGCTGGAGAAAATGAAGACCACTCAGATACTGCACAAACCTGTGACTTTTCTCCGCTTAAAATCGAGTTTCGAACCTAGGTTCAAACCTAGGTTCAAACGTAGATTCAACCACAGGAGAACTGCCTCTACACTCTTCGTTACTATTGTAGTGTTTTTATTTGCATGGTTTCCTTACTGCATTGTCTCTCTCTGGGTTCTCATAGGAGATGCAAATTCGATATCAAAGTTGTCCACAACGATTCCCTCTCTTTTCGCAAAGTCATCGGTCATATACAACCCGCTAATTTACGTTGTGCTGAATTCAAAGTTCAGGAAGGCCTTGATTCAGACGTTGTCATTCTTAAAGTGCCTTTCCAAACATGAATTGAGCGAATCGAGTTGAGAGGTACGAACCACGAGCCACGTTCCTGGGGGAATACATTCAAACCAACTAACTTTGCTCGGACGATATTATGATCTACGTTAGATATTAACTAACTCCCGATTCCTAGATAATTTCCATACAACCCACTAGCACAATTCAGTGGGCATTTGTAGGAGACAGAGAGAGGTGACCATGATGTTTAATATCATGAGGTTACGTGGAAGGACGTCGCCCCCACAACTTCAATGTGGACAGTGGTAGTTTTATCAAATTTGCCGCCAAATTGGCCTAAATTTCCCATCAAGCAAAATATACAAGTGAATTAAGGGAAAGGCATTCATAAAAATGAAGTGGAACGAATGTTTTATTTTATAAAAGAATGAAAGCATTTTTTTTTAGCAATTTACCGATCTATTTGGTGCAATATAACTCCAGATGAATTGGATTACATTTTGGGTGTAAAAATTATTATTACATAGTACATGGAAACTTGTTTACTTTAAAAATATAAGACGGTTTATATATATATATTTCCCGGTTTGATTTGGCTTATACTGCTGTATACATACCGCGTGGTAGAACTTAACCCTGGTACTGTGATCTGATTATAGTCCTATTTTGTACCATCATGCTATGTAATGGGCATTCACAAATATTGGATATTTATATAGCGCACATAACACCATGCATTGTGCTAAAGGAGCTCCAACTATTAAATACCCCGGCTCTGCTATATACGCACCCAATTTCGGCACTTATATATCATTCATGAATTCCTTCCAACCGGTACCCATTTAAACACCTGGGTGGAGAGTGGCAAAATGTAGATTGATATGTCAGTTGATTTTCATTACTAAACCTAAATTGTATTTTTACCCTTAATGTAAAATTCGTTAGTACAAAGGAATCTCGTAATATTATTACTGTTATTACTATTATTACAAAATTCAAAAGCTTACACTATTGCAGAAGAAGAATATTCGTATAATATCCGGAATGCACTATCGTTCCCATACTGGTCCCGTCTTTAAACATATTATTTTCTTGAGATTCAGTGATATCAACTTGCACCAACAAGGTATTTTCATGTATAAAAGCATGAATAACATCTTCCCATCACAATTTAGTGATCTTATCAATTTTCAATGCAACTCGGAAACCCATACGTATAATACGAGAAGCGCTAGCTGCCAACATTCATCTCCCTAAACATAGAACCCCAAGATTTAAATTTGATATTCGATACTCTGGGCCAAAATTTTGGAACACCTTACCATCTATCCTACATAAGTTGCTCTCCTTGCAGACTTTTCCCCGTAAGGCAAAAATGTATTTTATTGCTCAATAGTAATACCCTCGCTTGTATTTATGTGCGAAAATGACTTCTTGTTGAATTCAATAACATGACTGTTATATGACAGATTATTTTTTTAGTTTGATCACTTACGTACACGCCCCATCTGTATATTCCCCCAGGACAATGCTGTCTGATGAAGCTGTTGTTTGTTTGTTGATTTTGCTTGTTATTATGTACCCGCTGTCTATTTTAGAATTGTAGCACTTTGTTATTTTTATGATGTAATCGCAGACACATGCACAGCCCAATTGAGTTAACTTTTATGGTATGGTATGGTATTTATTGACACGTGTATCGCAGTTACATATACTGAATTGCACATGGATATACATTGCATTTTAACAAAATTAAAAACAGTATAATTTACATAATTATAAGTACACGTATTACGTCACATAAAGGAAAGAGGTTAAAAAGGGAAAGGGAGAGAGAGAGAGAGAGAGAGAGGAGAGAGGGGAAGGAGGAGAGAGGGAAGGAAAGTAAGAAAAATAGAAAGAAAGGATAAGAGACCGAGAGATATATTGAAGAAAGAGAAAGAGCAGGAAAGATAGAAAGAGAGAAAAAGAGAGAGAGAGAGGAAGGAGAGAAAGAGATGAAGGAGGGAGAAAGAGAAAGAGAAAGAGGAAGAACTAAGAGAGAGAGAGAGAATTAAAAATTACATGCAAATTGACGATAAAAAGATAAAAGTATGCATTGCAACATTGACATTACGAATAGTACTAATAAAAAGAACAAAAATCTGACTGACATGAGTGCTATACAAGAACCCGTCATTATTATTATTATTATGGCTTACCTAAAAATTATTTGGTAAGTTGTAAAATGTATATATGAAAATGTTTTCTTTTTTAACGTAAATGGTAGTAAAAACATTTTAAGAAGTATAATAACAACCTTTTAAGAAAATATTTATACATAACAACTAAATACAGGCGGATATAGCAGAGAAGCGAAATTCAAAAGGAGTAATTGCAGACCTGCGTAATCTAATAGCGTTAAGATAAAATGACGAGCAACCAGAGGCAATTTAAAATAATACATGTAATTATGAAATCGACAGTATACAATACGAAGAGTAAAGATAATTAACTGATAAATTGAGGTAAAGCGTATTGAAAATATTTACATTATGTTTCTACATTTAGCAATAATATAATTGTTCAATCCAAGATATTTAATTGAATCTGAAATATAATGCATTAAGATTCGGCGAATTGTAGATGGGTTCAGGCAAAGATTGCAATTCGAAAATGAATTATAATGAGCAAATTGTGATTTAAAAGAGGCTTTAGATAACTGGCAATAATTCATATAAAGAAAAAACAAACAAACATGGGAAACAAATGAGGTTACTAAAAATGACCTTATTTGTATCTTGATACAGAAATTGAAGTTATATTGACAAAAATACATATAATTCACAAAGTTTGGAGGTATTATGCTATCAAAAAAGTTGAACAAACCGGATGCTACATCATGGCTGGTTCAAAAGCCTTACTAGATAGGGTAAAGCACTTTTTCTGTAGCGTTCTGTCCTGCACTTGATTTCACGTAGCCTATTACTATGTCTCAATTGTCTTCGGGAACACTGGCTTTCAGGTAACCACTCACGAAAGTTACAGTAGAGGGACCTAGCAAAGTTTAGACAGAGCTCTTCTCTTCTGTCTCTCAAAGAGGACAGGATACACACTGCGAGAGCCTGATGGTAGGATTCATTATCTTAGTCCTAATATTGTCCGCAGGGCACGCTTCTGGATTGATTCTATTTGAGCTTCCTGGTTTAGAGTTAGTGAGGAATGCCATACTACACAACAGTATTCTAGCACCGGTCTTATGAAGGACGTAAAAACTGTGATCAAATCATGAAGTGGCATAGAGAAACGTTTGAGCATCCGTAGCAGATAGAGTTTCTTGACTGCTTTTGATGTAATGCAGTTGACTTGTTCCAACCACCGAAGATCACTGCTAAGGACGACGCCAAGCAATTTCACGTGTTGCTTGTCCGGGATTTGATTTTCGCCGATCATAACTTCCGCTGGTGGGAGCTGTCGACGAGCAAATGATACCCTCATGAGTTGCCATTTGGATGGGTTTAGACGCATATTCGAGTCCTTACACCATTCTTCAAATACAGACAATGTAGCATTAAGACAACTTTGTGAATTTGATCGGCGTGTTTCTGCAACAGTTAGGTCATCTACATACTTCCACCTAGAGCAGTCAGATGACTGGAGGGCATCGTTGACAGTGGCTAAGAAAACCAGAGGTCCAAGTCGCGTCCCTTGAGGAACACCGACTGAAGTGGCGAGTGTTGTTGAAAGTTGGTCTTTATACCGCACTTGCTGAGTTCGCTCACCAAGGAAGCTGCATAACCAAGGAAGTAAAGATGGCCGTGCACCCATTGTGTAGATTTTTGTAATTGCGACGTTATGGTTTACTAAGTCGAAGGCTTTGGAAAAATCCGTAAGCGCCACACTCGTAATTGATCCAGGTTTGTCAGCATTCGAATGGAGGTATTCCAGCAGGCTTAAAAGGTAATGGCTCGTTGACCAACCAGGACGATTGCCGAAGTGCTGAGGATCGATTTCTCCTATTAAGTGAACGTGCCTTCCTATACTTAATTCTCTTCTAATTTTTTTCCCTCTTCCATTTACTATTTTTTCTTTCCTATCAACGTTCTGTTATATAAAATGTAATTTTCATAATAATATCTATAATGTTCTCTCGGTAACTGTGTTAACTTATTATGGGCGTTCCCAAATCAAGCTATGCCTTCCGGGTTTTCGCCTCCTTCCGTATCTGAATTATTTACCGAATACTCTTTGTTGAAATAATTGTTACATATATAATTTATATATACATTGTGTTTCATATTGTACTGGTGAGAAGGAATAAATGTTAATAAATACAAAATTATTATTATTGTTATTAATAAACGCTTTGGGGTAAACAAAAGAAATGTTTTGTTATTTTGTTATTTACTATCTTCATCCCTATCTCGTCCTGTTTATTTCATCATCGATTATTCTGTCTATGTCTATATGCCTCCCCCTCTCTCTCTCTCCCTCTCTCTGTTTTTCTTCTTTTTCTCTCTCTCTCTCATCCTCTATCCCCCCCTCTCTCTCTCTCTCTTTACACACACACACATATATATATATATATATATATATATATATCTTCCACGAGTGACCGCGTTAATTTCCTTTGTAAACAAAATAATGCAATTCAAAGGAAGGTAAAAATTGTATTGATCATGAATGTGGACAATTATTATATACAATATTCGAGATATTACATGACTCATAATATGCGTAGACAGTCGATATTGTCATGCATTTCAAAAGAAGGTGAAAATTGTTTTGATAAATGTGAACAATTATATACATTATTCGAGATATTACATGACTCATTATGCCTAGACAGTCGATATTGTCATGATGTTCGCTATAGTGTCACTTTGTCAATTAAATCTATACAAGTATGTATACAATACATCATTATTTTGTGCGTGAATGAGTCTTTTGTCATGAGCCACCAATTTCGATTAGTAATTGAGGTCACAATTCATGAGAACATAAAATTGAAGTTACAACAATTATAAGTGGAAAAGAGATAATTAGAAATGCCCAAAATAGCATTTTGACGGCAAAGATGAGTAAGGAATGAGATAAGAAAATCAAATATATAGGAGTAAAATGATTGACATGTGTTTTTGTAGGGAGAGATTATTACGAGAGAAATATTCTGGATATTAACACAGTTGTGTAGATTTTGTCGAGATTTGTGTTGCTCAATTGGATTATGAAATCGAGTATATGAGAGAGAGAGAAAGAGAGAGAGAGAGAGAGAGCGAGAGCGAGCGTGAGCAAGGGGTAAAAGGAGGTTAAAAAGTTGAGCATATTCAGTAAACACTTTCAGATGAAACGCAATATAATATTATGGGTATCATTAAAAGGTGAAACAGCACTATTATAATCCCCCTGCCTTGTAAGGATAGGGAGAAATGTAATAATAGTACATTTTATATATCCAAGTTTCTTAATAATGTCCCGCGAGATGTATATAAACATGCATGGTAGAATAGATGGACATCATTTTAAAGATGATGACCTGGTTTACAACAACGCCGCAGCATTTCAAAGTACGCCTATATACAGTATAGCCATACATTCTGCATAGACTAATATAGAGTGATGATGCAGCTGCGCTTCATTTTAATGAGCCTGTAGGGACATCTATTCGGGCATAACGACAAAATTGAAGGGACCTTGACAAAGTGGCCTCGAATGCAGCAGAATACTAATGGTTTGCTTCAGGAACTAATCTCCAATATTTTGACGTTTGACTCATTAAATATTTATTCCATTTCTACTCGATTTTCAAGAGAAAGAACTCTATTAATTATTCAAACTCGATCCATTTTAAAAGCCTGCGTGGTGTGTTAACGTGCCCCTCCCCTGTTTCATAGACGCAGGATGGGTTAAGTGGAAAACACTCCGTCCCTCGGATAGGACGTTCAATGGAGGCCCCGTTTAGAGGAGAGTCACCAACTTTGAACCCACTGCACTATTCGTAAAAGAGAAGTGGTTCACATGCACTTCCCAATAAGTTATACCGGGAGGAGAGACCCGAGGGTTACAGTGATTCAGTTTGCTTTGCGCCTCCCAGGAACAGGTGACGCTAAATTAGTAAAAACAATGTTTCCATTTTCTGTGTCTTTTTGTATTGCATATGTCAAAAGTTGATCAAGGGCAACTAGCAAAATACGGAAAATTCATTATTTGAATACAATTCTAAGAGGAGGTCCACCCGATATCATCCTGGTTTTAATCAATGCAGATAATCAGACAAGACAGTGGATGGTCGAAATAATAATATAATGTACGATTGAAAATAGGAAATTTATAAATTTTTGAAGTTGTAATCAGTGAAATAATTGGCAACACTGTTACGTATCTTGCAAATCGAGCTCACCTTCAATTCCAAAAATTGTAATCCACTTTCATTTCCTTAGTTATTGAGGACGCGGCATGGATTTTTTTTAGACAGGGGTTGTATACAAAAAACATATTTACAATAATTACATTTAGGGTGAATGTAAGATTGAACATTTTCTCAAGGGAAAATATAAGCAAATTACATTTTTGGAGGATTTTTTAGTACAGG